ATTATGAATTAATTTATCAATAAGTTTCAGGTCCTGGATTTGGTAAATTCTTTAATAATAGATTGAACAATGTTATATTACATAATTACATTATATTAAGAAACATGTAAACAACGATACAAGTTAAAATAACCAACGAACCTAACACTCCATCTCAACCATACTCCTTGCCAAAAGCATAGTTAGTTAAACCCAGAAGCGCCTATAAACGGAACAGTAATTTAACCTGTCGCGGCCAACACCTGGGCACTTTTAAATATACCCCCGACATATTTATTGTTAAGGGTTAATATCGCAAAGTACCCCTTTTAGAGTGCTAATGTTCGCCCAGCACTTTAAAGGGTTAATTGGTACACTTATAAATAAGGTGGTTGAAGAAATTTTGGCGATTTTCTTGGAAGACATTTTTGGGTTTGTGGTCGCAGGTGTGTATTATTAAATACATGGTCTTTGTCATTTATTTTATTTTCAGTCATGATCGTCCCACTGCAGGGTAAAGGCTCCCTACCCTCCTTCCACTCATCTCTATGTAAAGCTTTTTGTAGTCAATCCTTGTCATAGATGTCTAATTCGTCCCGCCATCTCCATCTTTGTCATACTACATTGTCATATTTAATTCTTTTTATAACAGTTCTCTTCTTTAGGTGACTTGTCATACATTTTTTATAAGGATATGGGTATAATAGGGTGGTTTTCTAAATTTTATTTTAATGTCCGTCTGGTAGATTAATTCAAAATATTAGACACGTATTTTTAGTATTCTCTTAAAATTAAATACTTTCAAATATCGTGTGACGATGTGTGTGTAAAGAAAAGTTTTTTGGTATTGCACCTCGCATCTACAATAAGGTACCAGATGTTATGAAAAGTATGACTAGAGGTATATTGAAATTTAAAAAGACGCTAAAAGAACTTTTGCTTGACAAATGCTATTATAATATTGACGACGTTCTTAATGATGACTTACTGACTTATTAATAATATGATACCTTTAATTTCATCTTTCTTGACATTCAATAATTATAACTATTTCAATTCTTAATTTATTGGTAATGTATATTGTATGAGGTTGTCTAAGTTAAACTTGTAGATACATTGATTAGTAAATACTTGTAGGTAGGTACCTCATCATCAACAGCCGGAAGACGTCCACTGCTGGACAAAGGCCTCCCCCTTAGCCCTCCACGTCGAACGACAACTCGCCACCCGCATCCACTGGCTCCCCGCAACTCTGGCGATGTCGTCGGTCCACCTAGCGGGAGGCCTGCCCACGCTTCGTCTTCCGGTCCGTGGTCTCCACTCAAGGACTTTCCTGGCCCATCTGCCGTCAGTCCTTCGAGCGACGTGGCCTGCCCATTGCCACTTTAGTCTGCAGATTTTGCGAGCTATGTCGGTAACTCTTGTTCTTTGGCGAATTTCCATATTTCGGATTTTGTCGCGCAAAGAAACCCCGAGCATAGCTCTCTCCATCGCACGCTGAGCGACTTTGAGCTTCTCCAGAAGGCCAGAGGTCAGGGACCACGTCTCGGTACCATATGTCATCACCGGCAACACACACTGGTTGAACATCCTGGTCTTTAGGCACTGAGGGATTTTCGATGAGAAGATTTCGCGTAACTTCCCGAACGCTGCCCATCCAAGTTGGATTCTTCGGGCGACCTCTTTGTCGAAATTGGACCTACCTAGCTGTATAATCTGCCCTAAGTATGTATAGTGGTCTACAACTTCGAGGATATCGTTCCCAACGATGACCGGTACAGGTGCAACATGGACGTTTGACATGATTTTGGTCTTGTCCATGTTCATTTTAAGACCCACCTGTTGGGAGACGATATTGAGGTCGCTGAGCATGGTGTTCAGATCCTCCAGCGATTCCGCCATGATGACTACATCATCGGCGAAGCGGAGGTGTGTGATGTATTCGCCATTGATATTGATACCCAGTCCACTCCAGTTTAAAAGCTTGAAAACGTCCTCCAATGCGTTGGTGAACAGTTTCGGAGAAATCACGTCTCCCTGTCTCACGCCTTTCTGCAATTGGATTGGTTCCGTGCTATCTTCCTGGAGTCGGATGCGCATAGTGGCGTTTCTATACAAACACTTTAGCACCTCGATATATCTGTAGTCGATATGGCATCGCTGGAGAGACTGCAGCACCGCCCAGGTCTCGATCGAATCAAAGGCTTTTTCATAGTCCACGAACGCCAAGCATAGTGGCAAGTTATACTCCTCAGTCTTCTGTATAACTTGCCGCAGCGTATGAATGTGGTCTATGGTGCTAAAGCCTTTCCGGAACCCGGCTTGTTCGGGAGGCTGGAAGTCATCAAATCTGCGTTCGAGACGGTTCGTGATGACCCTAGAGAACAGCTTATATACATGGCTCAGAAGCGAGATGGGTCTATAGTTCTTCAACAAGGAGTTGTCACCCTTCTTAAAGAACAGAACCACTACACTCTCTTGCCATGCTTTCGGCGTAGCTCCTTCGAGAATGACGGAATTGAATAGTTTCTGGAGGACTAAAAGTATCGGTTTTCCACCCGCTCGCAGAAGTTCTGTTGTGATTCCGTCATCACCCGGTGCCTTGTTATTTTTGAGCTGTCTGAGAGCCATCCTAATCTCATACAGGCTGATGTCTGGGATATCCTCGGTATAGTGCCGTGTCAGTTTAGCTCTTGGATCCCGAGCTGTACCGACAATGGGTTGCCGTGTCGAGGTGTATAACTGTCCGTAGAACCTTTCAAGCTCTCTCAGAATCTCTGGCTTCGACGAAACGATGCTGCCATTTTCGGTCTTCAGTTTCGTCATTTGGCTTTGCCCAACCGACGAACTCCTTGCGAATACTTTTGCACCCTGATTTCGCTCTATGGCATCCCTGACTCGTGCGGCGTTATATGCACGCAGGTCGCGTCGCATAGACTTTGAAATTCGCCTATTAAGTTTGCCATATCCAGACATGTCAACTGAAGACTGCAGCCTCATCTCGTGTCGGTCTTTCAATAATTTCAGTGTTTCTTTCGAGAGCTTTTGAGGTCTATTTCGGCGTGGGTTTTTGAAAAACTCTGAGCCCACCGCTTGGACAGTTTCCACTAACCCATTATTTAACTCGTCAATCGTTTCACACTCAGCCAGGCACTGGAAGCGATTATGCAGTTGGAGCTGGAACTGTTCGGGGTTCTGGACCTGGGCGCGACCAGGACGGAGTGTGGACCCCACCAGGCGTGACCTCTCCAGCTTGACATTGATATTCAGTGTGCCTCTGACAATACGGTGATCGCTGCCGGTTTTCACCTTAGCTATCACAGAGACATCACTAAATATGCGCTTGTCGGTCGCCATGATGAAGTCGATCTCATTTTTGGTGTAACCATCGGGGCTTATCCACGTCCACCTCTTAGCTGGTCGCTTTCGGAAGAAGGAGTTCATTAGAAAGAGTCTCTCCCTCTCCATAAAGTCGACCAGCCGCTGGCCCCGACGGTTTCGCTGCCCATACCCAAATGGCCCCATTCTCAGCTCTTCGCCGTTCCGTGTGCCCACCTTCGCGTTGAAATCCCCCATGACAACGGTGAAGTGAGCTTCGGAGGTGTGTATGGCTTGGGAAATTTCCTCATACAGAGCCTCTACTTCATCATCGCAGTGTGTCGAGGTCGGCGCATATACCTGTATGACCTTCAGCGAATACCGGTGTGATATTCTGAGTATAAGGTACGCTACCCTGCTCGACACACTGTCAACTTTACTCACGTTGTTGACGAGGGACTTGCGGACGAGAAATCCGACACCACCCTGGGATTTTTGATCTCCTTCCCGGAAGAAGAGCAAGTTGCCGGAATCCAGGACCATCGTATCCTGGCCCTCTCTTCGGATTTCAGACAGTCCCAAGATGTCCCAACGCATTTTGCTCAATTCTTCCTCCAGCTCGACAATCTTCTCATCGGTCCGCAGTGTGCGGATGTTATGTGTTGCCAGGGCCAAAGTTCGTCGGGGGTGGTAGCGGTTCATCTGCCGGGGATTCTTAGCACCCCCTGCTCCGCCGTTACCCGATCCGCTACCAAGATCAGGGATAGCGGAGCTGCCGGGGACTGGGGGCCGTGTATTTAGGTTGCCGTTCATAGTGAGGGGGTGGGGGTTTGCCATAATCCCCACGCTTGGCAGGCGGCTTGGGGATCGCAGTTAGGTCACCGATATATTTATGGAATGCTGCAGCCCATTCCTCGGTGTCTGGTCGTAGTTTTAGGACGTACCCGGGTCCTTAGGACGTACCCGGGTCCAGGTAGGTACCTACTTATGCATTATTTGCATGCCATAACGGCAAAATGTGGAGAACCATACCATAAATATTAAACACCTTTTGTATATTTTATAACCCATGTTTGCAACGGAAATAAATGATTCGATTTAATTTGATATAATAATCATGATGCCGATGATGGAAAATTGTCACAATTTACCTTTCAGTGACACTTTATAACTGCAAAGGTTGCTGGGGCAGCTAAAATATACGACACATTGGACTTTTTATATTGTTTTAAGTTACAGTTATGTTTTGTTCTTAGCTTTTAATTTAATTCTGAATTTTTATTGCCTGTTTTAAAGAAAATTATTACATTATTGATTAGAATTTAAGTGAAATAAATATATACAACTTAAGATATAAATAATTTAAAACTAAAATATTCACACCTTAAAAAAATATAAAAAAAATAAATGTATCATAGATCATCAAAGAAAAAATTTCCAAAAAAATATTGTGATAAATGATGAACGTGGCAATGCTTAACCTTTGCCCAAGATAGTAGCCAGCCCTTATTGCCAATTTTATGTATATTTTTATGATTTCTTGCGTGCTGTGGCCTCCTATAATTAATGTAGTACATAGCTTTTAATTTCTTGTAATGCTACTCGTGTGTGCTATGTGTATTCCTTGTTGGAGACTAAAATTCAATAGATAAATAAATAAACAAATAAATAAATACCTATATATTTGTTTTTTTTTTGTTTAGAATTCTCTGGATGAGGCTCAGAGCAAAATGTCCGGTGACGTCGACTGGAATAGTGTCCTGGATGCTGATAAAAACAGTGAACTACAGAGCAGTGATAAACTTCGAGGTAAGCAGATATGCCAAGTTATACGCAAACTTATATTTTTGTTCAATTGTGATAGGGAAAAACATATACAGAGTGCAGATTTCTTTTTAATCTTGCCCCACTCTAGGATTTTCTCCTGTGTCGTGGGTGCGTTTACAATACACAAGTTTACACATAGATGACACCTAGACCCGGAACAACAATCTATAGATGACATTGAAGGCTGCTCACCTACCTTTCATTATTTATCATTTCATTAATCTGTACCTTCCTCATATTCATACATTTTACAATTAGTTCGCTCACCTCAGTATCTTTAGTATTTTCTTCTTCCAATAGAACCTGCCAATCCTTTGGTCTTTCTTAACATTTGCGATGTTTTTCTCATGATGATATGATGAAACGTAGGTGAGCAACCTACAGCACAAAGAGTTGTTCCCTGCGGAAATCGAACCCACAACAACGTTGCGCGGCAGTCACCGCGCCAACTGTGCAGTCTAACATATTTATGGACCTTATATTACTTAGTACTACCACTAAGTGGCAAAATTTAATAGTCAAACTATTTATACATTGGACACCACATTAAATTGTGAAGCATACCATGTATGTTCCTTTTATTAAATAATCAATATTTTTTTTTTTAAATATTATGTGGGTCCATTCTAAGTCTTTCACATACCACTTACTTATATCTATATTCAAGTTAATATCAGTGTAAAATTAAAATTTAATAACAATATGTTCTAATGTTTATAAAGGCGGTACAGCCTGTGTAACGAAATAAATTATGGTAAGTCTACAAATAGAATAAGATCGTTTGTAAACAGTGATTGTAATCATATTTAATATTAATAAAGAACTTGAAAAATCAATCAATCAATCAATAAAAAAATAATGTTTAGGGAACAGAGAGTATAGTTGCCTAAGATCGGGAAAGGAGGATCCTCCGACCAGGCGAGGTGATCGTGTCTGGCGGGCTTTCTGCCCAACAGTTGTTCGTTGGGATTTTCTATTCGTGTTTATTCGCTTGTAAACTTTGCATGTGCGATGTAGGATTCTTGTGACGTCATCTGTCACATGTCAGCCACAAAATGTATAACAGTTTTGCTAATTCTCAAAGAATGACAATCGCTATGTTGATGTGGATTTTGCCATACCTATTATTGGAAGCAAGTATAACAGCTCACACATAGGACCCACTTAGTTTTCCGTGGTGCTTGGCGACTGGGCTTCATCCAGTTGTACAGTCTCTTCTTTGTGCCTTTAGGCTTAATTCATTCAGTCTCCTGCAGTAATTCAACGAGGGAAGTGGAAACTATAGTTTTTTCTTCTTCTCCTCTTATAATATCTTCTGATTCACTTCGTTGCGGGAACCAAGACAGTTATTCATGTCCCTGGGACGCGCCGGACTTCCAATGTTCCGGTGTTTTCATGGTTGTATCTACTATAGATCCTGGCTTACAAGAGTTGCAGCGGTTTCGGGAGGTTGTGGCGGGCTTGTCCCTTAAAATAAAAATGTTGATGTAGTTTCACTCTTTTAACTTAGCAGCTACACTACATGCATGATAATCTTTGTTATAGTGGTAGATTAATGATTTAGACTTGAGTTGGTTTAATTTGACTTTATTTCAAATGGATTTATGGACTAAACACGACGTGTATTCACACCAAAGTATGACAGATCGACAGCACGCTCCGTGCCGTCTTTTGATATTAACATCACAACATTACGCCTTTTATCCCCGAAGAGGTTAGGCAGAGGTGCACATAATACCACTGGACAATGTAACACCCACTTTTCACTATTTATGTTATGAGTCCCATGTAATAGGAGGTGAGCCTAATGCCATATACCGGGCACAATTCCAGACTCCGTGCTACTATTGAGAATACTAAAAAAAACCGAGTAAAACTTTGCCTGACCCGGAAATCGAACCCGAGACCTCTTGCCTGGCAGTCGCACTATCGACCACTCGGCCAACGAGGCAGTCTTTTCATCTTATATAGTACAATATAGCGAGGGAGTCATCTTACTTACTAAACTGGTGAGGTTTTACATGTAACAATCTAAGTCTAACACAACAATTACTTCCAGAATTCTACAAGAAACTAGTCCAAACTGACGCCAAAATAAAAAATCTAAAACACATCAATCAAGTTGAGATGCATTACCTTGACGATGACTTACAAAAGACTCCAGACAAATCGAAAAGATCACTCAAATTATACCACTATCCAAAGAAATTACACTTCATAAGGCACAGAAGGTCACTACTAAACAAAAACAATGATAGTCCCTATGTGAAAAAGCGAGCAATGAACAGGAGTCGACTGAAAAGGTTCAGCAACGAGTCAGAAGAACCGACAGGCTTTGTTATAGAAAAGAAGAAACTCCTAGTCCAATACAAACCAGCTGGAAGAAAGAAAATAGCAGTAAAAAAGTGCTCACATGCACCAAAAGACCTTCACATCCACGAACATCAGCTTAAACACCCATTTTATAAAAACACCCAACGTTTAGATGAACTCCTAGATAGATTTTTAAACAAAAATCTGCCAGAGATCATGTCTGATCCATTTGGTTTAGACGTGCTATTCAAACAGAGTCCTAATAAAGCTTGTAAGCATCCGAAACCCCACAAAAATGTGAATATAATTGGCAAAGAGCCACGGATAGACCAGATACCGAAACCGAACCAGAAAATGAAGATGGCCAAGGAGGAAAAGATGGAATCTCCATCTGATCTCTTTAAGATGCTAAGACCGGAGTCCACGACGCAGTACGAGAAGGACTTTTACCACCATGAGGCACAGCTGATTGGGAAGGAGAAGATGAAGATTGTGACAGCCAGTCCCAATGACTTTGAAGTGCTCTTGAGCGTGTCTACTATAATGTTAGTACATTTTAAATTAGGTTTAAATAGGGCGTATCTAACTGTAGATGACGATGTAAAAGTTTTCAAAACCGAAATCTACGGGTTTTAGGGTCTAGAAAAATCGTCAAAATGGCCTTGCGTACACCCTTATAGTATGCTTGATCAGTTCCAGGCCTTTAATCAGTGTGTGTGACAAATCCGTAGTTTTTTGCCATTCTTTATCGCTACGTCAACGTAGCACTATGTGCCGCGGAGAACCTAACGGGTTACCGGGGCTCCGGCGAGAAGTGTAGGAGTAGGAACGGGGTGGTTTTTAGTCAGTAAGAGTCTGACACTCCCTCCAGCCTCACCCAGGCGGGAGAAGTCATTCGATTATTTTCCCCCCTTAAAAAAATGTACCGACTCATACTTACCATATAAAAAACTCTTTTTTCTTTCTAATTTATCATTGTAAAACTAGTTCTGGTGACAGGAACCCCGACATGAAGCGGACAAAGGCTGAAAAAGTAGCAGGTCATGGGGACAAATCCCAAATTCTGGGGAAAATACCAAATCTACGCCGTTTGATGCAGCTGGAGGACGAAGAAGATGATACCCTAGGTTACGAAGACTTTAAAGAGGTGCTGAGAGATGACATGGAGAATCATGATGAAATGGATAAGTCTGTAGATCGGAAGAAACGGTCTGATGTATGTTTTTTAAGCCTAGACAGATAGCGTCATTAATGGTCAAAAACGTTGTAGTAGTAGAATGAACTCACGGCAATAGGAATAGAATGTGCCCAAAAAGTATGGAAAATAAATCACCTAATTATCTTACCTATTAACTCGTCGAGTACCGTCATTATAGACACAATTATATAACAATAGGTTGCGGTCACCGGTGACCGCTTGGTGTTTGACAGTTTAATTAACTTAACCCTTATATGGTGGACATTCCACTCATTCGAACGAAGCGTTCCGCATCAAGCTTCCTTGTGGATGGAACTCCTTGCCGGAATCTGTGTTTTCTGATAAATGTAACTTGGGTGTCTTCAAGTCCCGAGTGAAATGGTCGCTCATAGGCAGACGTGCCCTATCATAGACCGCATTATCCCTCTTACCACCAGGCGAGATAGTGGACAAACGTAGGCCGATCAGATATAAAAAAACATTGTATTAATTAACCAGTAAATTAATTACTTATTAATTTCAAATTGTACAGGATAAACCACAATTACCGACAGAGAAACCTATTAAATACAACCCACCAGGAGTTCATAATCCAAACTGGAAGGGACCCATGCCTTTGTATCCTGATGAGCTTAATTCCATGGTCAAACATGGGTCTTCTGACACTACCAAAGACCTTAAGGTATGAATTGTTTTATCATCATCTTCATCATATCAACCATAACACAGCTAACTCCCAATAGGTCTGCTGGGCAAAAATTTCATTATAAACAAAGATTTCATATCTTTAAAGAAAATTCTTTAAAGGAAGGAAAATTAAAAGCATTTGCATTAATAACCTTATAAATAATACGTTCAGGTTTCCACGATCATTTCCTTTGCCGTACGCCAATGATTATCACTATAGTTAATTTAGTCCAATTACCTTTGTAAATACGTATAATGCATGTGACTTGAATAACATTTCGTTGGTATATACAATTCTGAATCACTTATGCTGAAATATTTAAATGTACCTCGATTTTATGTAGTGTTTAAAATCTTAAATATAGTTCTACCACTGCAAATTATTTGTAAAATGACACGAGACGGTACAACTCAAAGTTGAGTAGCCTTAAATATTTGGGCGTCTGCTGATTGAAAATCTTACAGCTAAGTGCTGACTCAAAATCTATAGAAGCCAACGCATTGCCAACTTAGGGCGGAGCAGAAACTGGATGTGGAAATAGTGATAGAAGACATAGGTCTAATCATGAAAAGCAAAAACAGAGATATATTCTTAACCTATTGCGTGAATATAGCTGAAAAAGTGATAAAAAAGATTAAGATAGATTAAAATACCATGTTTTGTACCTATTATATTGTAATATAAGAACTAAAGCATGGGACATCTGATAATTAAGAAGAGTAATAATAAGCAAGCATTAGAATAAGGATAGCCAAATAAAGTATGAAACAAATGAATAGATAAATAGAATAACAACTATGTAATAGCATAAGTCCAAACAAAATTGTAATAGAATAAGAAGCGATAGCAATAGGAAGTTGAAATATTGTATAAGTGAAAATAAACAAAACCAAGCAACCTTCCTTATTACCCCAAAACTAGTAGAATCAATAAAATATAAGGCAAAAGTAGAAGTAGGGAAGTGGGAGTCCCACCCGCTATAAAAAAAAAAGAAGATGTATAAAAGAAAGATGAAACATAAAAGTGCGAGAGGTATAAAAAAAAGAACTGGAATGAAAGTGAAACTAGATTAAAATAGGCGCCAATAACGAAAAAAATGTAGTCAGAAAAAAAACGCATTACCAAACCACCAAGTTCAATTAAAAAAAAATCATTGAAAGTTAAGAAGGTTAAAGCAACGATGTTACATATATATTTCCTTCAGGAGAATAAACTGAAATCCGCACATCCAAAACTAGCCAGAGACTTAAATCTAAAAAGGAAAGGAAGAGATGTATCAGACGTGGAATATGTAGAAGACTATCTGAAAAACAAATACGATAAACTAGTAGAAATGGCCCAAGCATACAGTGACTATGGAGTTCTAGATGGCAAAAAAGACACAAGGAATGAGAAGAATTCAGATGAGACGGCTACTGATAGAAGAATCAAGTTGTCTGCTGAAGACAATGTTTATGGTCCCAATCTTCTTGCAAGACTGAGATCAGGTAATTTCTATTTATTATTGTAATGATTTGAGTAATCTTCAACCAACAATCCTTAATTTCCTAATCCCCAAAAAGGCCAGCAACTCATTCGTAACGTTCATTGGTACATGATATCTTGTAAATAAATGAATCTTCGGATACTAATAGCTCATTTAACCTAAAAATGTATGAAGGGGCCGCAGAAAGCTCACCGAATACCACCACCATCTTTTAGTTGCTGATCACTTGTTGGACATAGTGATCATATAAAGAGCAGTTTTAATATCAAAACTAATATGTTAATCTCGTTAAAGGTAGACTCCCAGAGGCTATGACTAGAGAGGGAAGCATCAGGAGACAGAGGGATGTTTCTGACAATGCCTCCTCTGACAACGCCTCCACTGACAACGCCTCCACTGACAATATTGGTTTGTAGATGTTATTTTATATCACATTGTCCTTGTACGGCATCTACCATGCGAAATATGAATAAAAAATAATAGAAGAGGCCATGTATGTGACTAACATAATATGTTACTAGTTCACAAATGTTATAAATTATGGTGTAGGTACCGGTCGGTATATGACCACGTATAAAGAAAAAATCTAAATAGAAGTGACACATGCAGATTATATAGTGTTAGTTTATTAATGGGTACATATTCATGTCCTATGTATGCGGTGAAATGGACCAGTTCACCATGGACAAAACAGGGCCTTGCGCTGATATTCTACTGGTCTTTTAAGTGACTTGAGGACGAACAAGCCACCAATCGGACCTCAATCAGCAATTTATTTATTTATTTATTTATTTATTAGGTACACAAAACAGAAACACAGCACAATACACAACAGAGTAACATTACAAAACTGTAAATGGCAGACCATGCTTCCACAAGTATGTGCACACAACATGACATGCAACGACTAGTATTTATTTGTTAACAATTATTTATAATTAATTATAAACCAGAACAAAATTAGAGATAAATTGTAATAATAAAGAGAATTAAGAATGCAATTAGACAATAGATAAATTATTCAATATTGATAGATAAATTATTTAATAGATAAATTTACCAATTCAAATTAATTAATACAACAAACTATTATAATACTTATTATAACAAAATAAGGACTGCCTCGTTGGGCGAGCAGTCGCACGTGCGACTGCCGGGCAAGGGGTCTCGGGTTTGATTCCCGAGTCGGGCAAAGTATTACTAGTTTTTTTTTGTTAAATCTCAGTAGTAGCACGGAGTCTGGGAATGTGCCCGGTATATGGCAATAGGTTCACCTCCTATTATATGGGAGTCATAATAAAAATAGTGAAAAGGGGGTGTTACATCGTACAGTGGCAGTGGGAATAAAAAGCGTGATATTATGTTATGATAAAAACTGCAAACCGTAAAGAAAAGATCGTCCAACATGTAAAAAAAAAGTTAACAACGCATTTCTGACTATAATAATACCGATAGTCATATTTGTAACATTACAATATTATATAATAGACATCATTATTATTTCCACCAGAGCAGTCAGATATCGTCACCAACACAATGTTTTTCACGAGCCCCTTCAGCTTCAGCCCCGTCGGTACTTACAACCCCTATTCTGACGGCTTCCGCTTCCAAGTGAAGACACCCAACAAAACAAGAGATGAAGAAGTCAGCCTGTTCAATATCTTCTCCAAACATTTGCAATTTAAGGCAAAGACTAAAGCGAACACTCTTCGTCAAACCCAAACAACGATTACTCCGAAATATTCTTACCCTGATTTAGATTTGGTGAAAGCAAACAAAATTGGGAAGCATAACTCTTCCACCACAGAAGTAACAACTGCTCCTATAGCAGAAGATACGGATCCAGATGCTGGTGTCGTATTTGCTCTTACCAAAAACAAAAGAACTCTTCTATCAACGAACTTCGAGGTCACAGAAAACTTTGACGCTGTAGAAACTACTGCGAATCAAGAGACTGCAGAAAACAATATCGATAATTTTGTCAAAGATTTGGATATTAAATCTAATAGTGCAGCTAATAAGAAAGCATTAGCTCATTATATAGAAGTTATGAGACAGAAAAATATTAAGATCTTTAGTACTGCTCATCCAGATTACATTAAAATTGGCACACCGTCTTCTGCTAACGAAGTGTCGAGTTTTGTGACAGCTAATGCTAGTCTGAAACCGATATCATCCCCAATTGATGATAACCCCATAATAGACACAGTTGTGACTATAAATAGAACCGAAATCAAAATGGACGAAAACACAGGCAGCAATTATCTAGGAAAGATAATGCTGACAGTTGAAAATCCGGATTTTGGAGTCGAACACATAAACTTAATGTTTGAAGTTCCACTAATCATTAATTTTAATGAAGAACCATTGATGTTGTTCAATGATAGTGTAGGTTTTCCCGATACAGATAATCAATTTGACGCGTTCCCAGAAGCTATTGTAAAACCGAATGAGACTGAGTCACAGCCTATTGAACCGGATTTCGTAATAGATTTAAAGAACAGAACTATAGTTAAAAGAAGTAAAGCGTTTAGTAATCTAACTGCTACGTGGGTTGATTATAACGTAACTGAAACACCTGAAACAACAACTCCGATGACTGTAAATAGTAACAGATATAGTAATATGAACATTTCACTCTTAACTCATCGGTCACTGAATAGCAGTTTTGATTCGGATAATATGACTTTAAGTGATTTCTTTGCTATGGTCTCCGATTGGTTTAAAGTTCTTGAAGATTTGAAGGAGACGAAACCGAGGCAGAATAGTATGTGAGTAGTTTTGGCATTTGTATTAGTTTATTAGCAGATATAATTAAAAGCTTTACGTAAAGAAGAATCGAAGGATAAACGCGCTTATCTCCGTAACTACAAGTCTGATTTGAATAGTTCTTTTTGTGTTAGATGGCGCATTTATCGAGTATGGCTATAGACTATAAAACATCACGCTACGACCTGAGCAGAGCGTGTGAAACCGCGCGGAAGTAGCTAGTTAATAAATATAATTAGTTAACTATTATTTACAATTATAAATTATTTGTACTTAGGCAAAAAGAAAGATAGAAAGAAAAACAACGAAACGAAAAAGACGTAAACAAATCTGTCTCATGTTTTTATAATAACTATCATGATAAATGCTGAAGTGCGCGATCGCAGCGACGTCAATAGAGTGCGCGACATCGCCGCGACCGCGCATGCTGCTCACGAGGAAAGTCTTTCTGTGACTCGAAATTAGTGGAGCTCAACTCAATATATTTAAATCGTAATTTTTAGATAATTCTGTGTCTCTTATCCAGGTCTGACATAAACGATATGCTAAAAACAGCAAATACTTCCACTGAACCCAACGTCACAACTACGGACACTGCCTACCACCTCTACGATGATAACAGTGATAATAGCGGTCACATCGGTAATATTGGTGGCTACAAGTCCAGGGTTCTTCTCTCAGTTGATGAGAATCCAGTCAATGTGACAGAAAAGAATGTGGAGGCCACTTCTAATCTTACTACTCTTGACATCAACATCACTGGTGGTAATGGTAGGTATGTTCAAAATTTTGGATAATTTTTCATTTTCTCTGGAGTGCTTGAAATTGAAGATGTTTTGGCTTTTTATTCCTAGAAGAAGATAGAGGATACAATGAGAAACTGATGTTCAGTTTCCCAAGACTGTCATAAAAAGGAGTATAAATCAATAGGGTACATATTTTTCTAAATTTTATTTTAATATCCGTCTTGTAGTATTTTTTCTTTTCTCACAAAATTAAATACTTTTGACGATATACATATTAATTTGAAATATCGTGTGACGTCACAGCGTGCTACATTTTGTAGCCCTTTGTGACGTAATAACCTCCCTCTGTTTATATAGGAAAATTAAAAATACGTGTCTATTTTCTTATTATGTAACTGACGGACTAATTAGATTTTTATTTTCTTACTCGGACACCTACCTTATTCTAACACTTATTATGAATTTCAAAATTCAATTGACCTTTGGCGAAATAAAATGGCCTATAAGGCGCACATTGAAAAGTTCTGTAATACATTTCTCTACAAACCAACCTCAGACCTCGTACTATATAGTGACACGAATAGGGCACTACCAAAACATAGGCAGGCAAAGTTTCAAATTATCTTACCGTTAATAGTAGTATAGTCAGGATATTTGCTAAAGAGGAGGCATATTCTAACAAAGATCTAAATAATGTTCCAGTAACCAACTCCACAAGTCCGTCAACTCCATTCCTGAACCTCAACAATAACATAACAATAAAACAGAAAGCAAACATAGAAACCAAGGCACCACAGGGAGACAAAAAGAAAAAACTTAAAGTCAAAGCGATCTTCAAAAGAAATGCTGAAGACAGCAATTTAATATTTTGGAATGATATTTACGATGACGAATATGGCGTGCAAGCTGACAACCTAGATAATTCTGTTAGGGACAAGCATTCGGTAAAGGATAATGACTTTATACAAAGATCAGGTAAGGATATTTAATTTCATTTCATTTTTATTTATTTATTTGATCATACAGTTACCTACTGAGATCCATCAAAGAAATAGTAAAGGAAGAACATAATCATGCATAACTATATAATTATTTAGGTACGATATTAATAAGCAATAGTAAACAGGGACATATGCCCGAATACTGAAACGTTACTCAATTTTAAGTCACGCTTAAGTATAGTTCTGTCTCCACTAATTCTTTGTGAAATGACAGAGATGGCACGATATTTAAGCACGATTTAAAATTGAGTAACGTTTCAGTATTCCGGCATTAGTCCGCTGCACTAATTTGCACATCAATGAACAGTCATGTCTACCGGCTATAGCAGTCAGAAGACCGCGGCGACCTCCACGCAGGCGACTGATGAGCGATGCAGTCTTTTGCGCCATAACGCAGCGAATCAATCGGTATGGGCATCAGCGAACATTGCTGACGCACTAAAGAAACGTGGAAGCCTCAACATTGCCCTGAACGCCTTATTATACTGGATCCGCAGAGCATTGTACGCTCTCTGGGTGTAGTTAACCCACAGACTTCCCGTGTACAGTGAGGTGCAATACGCCTTGAACAATGTTATTTTAACTGCGTCTGTACAATGAGAGAATCTTTTGGCTTACTCGGTAAATGGGCATCCGGTCATATTGATTCCCAACTATGATTCGGAATGTTTTATATGAAAATCCACCCAGAGCAGATTAGTATAAAAAGTTTATTTTCCAGGCAGATGGGTACATGAGAAAATAAGAAAGTTTGCCGAGAATTTGAAAATGAATCCACGTATATATAACTCCCCTATCGATCACCCTGGAGATACGGAGCCCAAGGAACGAGTTCCACGATCAGTCAATAACAATGAGTAAGTACATACCACTGTCATTCCTTGACCGGGTGTAGTAAGAGACTAGTTGGTCAAGAGACCTCTTATTTAGAGGAGACCAAGTATACAAGTGAAATATCAGGAACTGTGAATAGTATCAAAATATAGCGTATAAAACTAACGGCAGATGAAACTAAAGCTGACCTAGAAGTACTTGGGGGAGCATCAACCGTAATATCGTGTGTAAATTTAAGTTTGAGAGAGCCATGCTTCGGCACGAATGGGTTGGCTCGACCGGAGTGATATCACGGCCTCACAGAAAACCGACGTGAAGCAACGCCTGCGTTGTGTTTCGTCGTGTGAGTGAGGTTACCAGAGGCCCAATTACCCTTCCCTTCCCCAATCTCCCCAATTCCTGAATCCCCAACGATCCTCAAACTCCTAATCCTCAAAAGGCCGGTAACGCACTGGAGTGATATCACGGCCTCAGAAGATCGACGTGAAACAACGTCGTTTCCTCGTGTGAGTGAGGTTACCGGAGGCCCAATTACCCAATCTACCCAATCCCTAAATCCCCAACAATCGTCAAATTCCTAATCCCAAAAACCGGTAACGCACTTGTAACACCTCTGGTGTCCCAGGTGTCCATGGGCGACGCCGATTGCTTACCATCAGGTGATCCGTCTGCTCGTTTACTGGTTAATCCCATAAAAAAAGAATTACGATTTTCTTATTAGGGCGTAAGATATTTTAGAGACTTTGTTGGTCTCAACAACATACGTATTATTCAAAAAGGCCAAATTAAAGGAATCTCAAGCACTTGCATGAACAGATTGATTAATGTAGATGAAGTGAAGAGGTGTGACAGACATTATATTTATTTTATTTTAGCATATATTTCTGTATAGCATAGAGTGTATATTAGGTGGACTTAATGCCATAGGCATTTTCTCCCAGTCTGACCTATAGGTGATGCAGAGAAGAGTAAATGGTAGGAGCAAGAAGTAAGCCAACGTTTTATTGAGCAAACAGAAGATCTACTTACATTCTATTGTCTCTGTCTGTATTTTAGAGATATTAATAAGCTTAGGAACAGATGTGACAATGATAACAGAAATACTATTCACAGAGTGGGATCGTATCCGAAGAATGTTTACGAAAAAATTTATAAAAATCGTGTTGGACGCCAAGAGACTGACAACAAGGATGATGTGAGTAACAAAACAATACATTCTACCCGACTTAAATATAACCTAACTAGCTATTACCCGCGGCTTCGCTCACGTCAAAAAATGATAAAAAGTAGCCTATGTAACATATACCAAGACACACAGTGCCATCTATACCATTAATTTCATTTTCCCTCGAGAACATAAAATTTTTCCAGGATAAAAAGTACCCAATTATTTAATCCAGACTTCTAACTTTACATCTGCAAAATTTCAAAGCAATCAGTTTAGTAGTTACGGCGTGAAAGCGGAACAAACAAACACACTTTCGATTTATAATATTATATAGTAAGGATAGATTAAACAGAACGGAAACATAACTGCTTGTCCTAGAAACGATTATCACAATGAACAATTAAACCATAATTTGGTACTTTTGGAACGTCAACAAATATAAAATAAAAATAGTCTGTCAGTCAGTCCGCCAGTGAAGCTAGGTGCTCGTTTTAAAATGTAGAAGAACGAGAAAGGAACACCATTCGTTATTCTATAAAAAAAAGTTTTACAATCCGTCTGATTCGGACGTCCATTTAAAATGTCTGCAGTTGAAAAATTCTATTGTAGTTAGGTTAAAATAATATGAAAAAAATTGGGCATAAACTTCAATATTTGATAAAAGTATATACCTATATGTTCTTTCAGGACGATCTTGATGCAGATCAGAAATCAATTTTCTTGGCGTTGACGGCAAATATGAGAGATGTTTGTCGAAAGGCGGCGAAGGCAGTTCAGCAGACTAGAAACATGGATTCACCGACAGAAAAAGGGAAACCAAGTAATTCTGGTAAAAAACTTGATAAATAAAGTCCTCATTGACCAAAATCAAAGCAACATCATCAGACATCGCTATTTTAAGTTTGGAAGAACCATGCTTTGGTACGAATGGATCGGCTCGACCGGAGTAATACCACGGCCTCATAGAAAACCGACGTGAAACAACGCTTGTATTCTGATTCTCCATTTGAGTGGGGTTAGGAGACCCATTCCTCTCATAACCCCATCACCAATCCCGAATGGCCAAATCCATTAATGATATAGGTAGAAACAGAACGCCACCTACTACGCTCCTTACATACTTCTTTAGCTTCCATCACATTCATACATCTGATAGTATACAGAAACTACAGAGCGGCACATACTACGCTCCTTACATACTTCTTTAGCTTCCATCGCATTCATACATCTGATGGTATACAGAAACTACAGAGCGGCACATACTACGCTCCTTACATACTTCTTTAGCTTCCATCTTATTCATTCATCTGATGGTATACAGAAACTACAGATCGCTACCTACTACGCTCCTTACATACTTCTTTAGCTTCCATCTCATTCATTCATCTGATGGTATACAGAAACTACAGATCGCTACCTACTACGCTCCTTAAATACTTCTTTAGCTTCCATCACATTCATACATCTGATGGTATACAGTAACTACAGAGCGCCACCTATTACACTCCCTACATACTTCTTTAGCTTCCATCACACCATGTGATCATATCACTGTCTAAAATGCTTTATTTCAGCTAAATCATCAGACTCACGGGAGGGATCCGTAGCATCCGCTCTGATGCAGCAACTGGTCCGTCTTCTGACAGACCTCGTCGATTATCAGGTCCAGCAGAAAACTTGCTCAAGTTAGTTTATTTCAGATTTTATTTTAACTTCTATGTAGTTCTAGAAGAACAGGGTTGTCTCTAAATAATGAAATGGCTTAACATTCACAATTGTTTTCTAATGTATGTGTTGTATCGACTGCCTTATTGGACATGATAGCGACTGGCGAGTAAGGGGTCTCGAGTTCAATTCCTAGGTTTGGGAAAATGAATTTTTAACACAACTGCTGGATTTTCACTGTTTCAAATGTGGTCTCAAAACCCATTTCTTTCAACACAGAACTACCGAGTGACCTTCAAAATTTCCTGGAATGGCTGACTTACCCAAAGGAGGAGGCTCTGGAGGCCCAACCGGAGTCCTTAATCTACAAACCTCCCTACCAGGACGAGGACCAAATGGAACCGATGCAGGAAATGCAGACAGAAAGCGGTGACGATTTATTTGCATCAGTTTCTAGTGAGCTTGTTGTTTCTGAATAGAAGATATATTGATGGCAATGGGTGTATTATTAACTAAAACTCGCGAGTTACTTACGTGAATTCCCACTATTTTCGAACCACAGAGGGTTTCTTCCTCATGAGCAGCATGCGCGGTAGCGGCGATATCGCGCAGCCTCCTACTAGTAGGAAGAACCCTCTGTGGTTCGAAACTAGTGGAGCTTTTCTGAGTATATTCACGTGAGTAACCTGCGATTTTTAGATAATTTAGTATATCTCACGATAGTTTTTATAAGAACATATGAAAAGGGTGTTTTATGTTTGATATAATAACGAAAAGTCTAATTTCAATTGACATAATGTTTATTTTATTATATTTTTATTTTAAGACATTACGTATACACTAATGTACATGGTGGGCTTAATGCCTAGGGCATTCTCCTCCAGCCAGACCTTTAGGTGATGCAGAGACAAAAACAATGGTCGATGCAAGAAGCAAGCGTATATAGGACTAAACAGAAATACATAAAAAGGATAGTATAGACTTACATAAAATAAATCCCTATATAAACTTACATGTATATAATATGACAATAAACTTACACAATTATATTACATATACTACTTAGACGTTCATTTTATGTTATTAATTTCAAAATGGCATAATTCCAAATAACCTGATTTAGTATGAATGTTAAATCAAATGTGTATTATAAGACATGTTTAATATACCATTATAAAAAATTTGATAAACTGAAATTATATGAAAAGTTTATTTGGGCTGGGCACATAGCGCGGAGAACAATTTGGCTAATTTTGGTCTTAAAATGTTTGTGAAATAGGAAAAGATTTAACAGGTGATACAAAATATTTAGGCGGTATGTTGCCGGGTCAGCTAGTAATATGACAATCATACTAAACAAAATGTGTTCTGCATGGAACTATGTTATTTTATCATTTACGTTTACAGAAAAATATGAAGATGACCATGACATAGACGTGAAACAAATGAATCGAGTTAATGCCATGGACGTGAGGGCTCATTACATGGACTGTATCCATTCCCTGCAGGAACTGATGGACCAGTATGATGATATGAGTGATGAAGACAAGGTAAATTAACTTGATGATGTGTTTAGATTAGGAGGCCACAGGAAGCCACTGGATGCAGGTCGTTTCCAACCAGCTGATCGGGAAGTCATTGGAGGACCCCTATGTGAGGTACTAGTTCGTACTACGTCTGGACACTGATATAATAATGATGATGTAAATAATAGACACAACATAACATCATGCCTCGTTATCCCCGAATGGATAGACAGGTGCACATTACGGCACTTAATGCTACTGTACAATGTAACCCCCCCCCTTTTCATTCTTTATGTTATGAGTGCCACGTAATAGGGGGTGAGTCTATTGCCATATTTCGGGCACAATTCCAGATTCAGTGCTGTTATTGAGTATTATTATAAAAAAAATCAATAATCCCGATCTAGAAATAGAACCCGAGACCCCTTGCCCGGCAGATGCACATGCATCTTATACATATCTTCTTTAATAAACCTGTCAAAGTGTTATGTTTCTAATTCCGTTTCAGAGTAAAATGATGGGTGTGAAGTCATACCTTGATAATCAACTGAGATATCTGAACAAACAAATGAATGGATACGATTTGTATTCGGTAAGTTAAATAAAAAAATATATATAAATCACCTAGTAACTACTTCCACATAAAGATATAATAAAAAATAAAGCTATAAGAAGAGACGAGTGGAAGGAGGGTAGGGAGGCCTGTTCCATAAAATAAGACTATTTCCCCATAAAATATTTTGGCATTTTTTTTTAAGCTTTGCCCCACACTAGGATTTTCTCCTGTATCGTGGGTCGCGTATATAAACATACAATATCATATACACATGACACCCAAACCCGGAACAACAATCTGTGGACCACACAAAGAGTTGTTCCGTGCGGGAATCGAACCCACGACACGTTGCGCGTCAGCCAGTTGCCCAGCCACCGCGCCAACTGTGGAGTCAATTAAATTATCCTCATCATGAGGCCAGTTCTAATCACTGCTGTTCTTTGCAATAACAACCACTGAGTTTGACAACACTTTCTAATTCACAGCTTCTTGAAAAACAAAACATGGTGCGTCTCAAGAGAGACACAGACGAGAAGAAGAAGAAACACCCAAAACGACGTAGATTGAGAAGAAAACTAAATAAATTCATAAAAAGCTTTGGCAAGAAACATACACGAACCACAGCTAGTTTCTACGATGCAGTTCAAGTCACGGATATAAAGAGGGTCACTGTTAAAAATGATGAACGAGTTATGGCAACAGTAGATAAAAATGACAAATTAGCCAAAAGGAATCTCAAAGATGTGTATTACAAAGCAGTGGCTGATGCTAAAAAGCATGCAACAGCTACTAAAAACGTTCATAAGAACAGTGAAATGACACACGAACCCAGTACGGTGAAGATGCAAAAATGAATGTTGGAATTATAGAGGATTTTGGAAATGAAGCTAGCGTATCGGGATAAGATGTAAATGACAATAGTTTTGTTGTTAGGGTTCGGAAAGTCATTGAGGTTTTTGTTGATTCTTGCTTTGTCGGGTTTTTGTCGTATGGAGTATTTTCTGATAGTCTTTAGAGGATGCAGAAATGAGTGTTAGTTGGTGCTAGCTCGTTTGTAACATTTCGCGACGATGTAGATAATTTGGAATTGGTCATACAGCCGAAATTAATAACGAATCTCAATACAGAATCTTTAGGTTAAGATTTATTTTTGACATGTATTGTATGGAATTTCCTTCAAAAATTTAGATTGATCCATAGATTTTGAATTTAGATAATATTCAGGTTTAGTGCATAAGTAAGTAGGTAATTCTAAAGATAAACTCTGATTTAAAAATATTGTGAGTTCGACTTGAGTTAATAGCACTCGACACAGCAGCTCATGTAGTGTAGATGTCCAGTAAACAAGGATGAAGCGTAGACTATCCTTAGGAATATTCATGAGCTTGTGTGTTCATGTGTAAACAGCAGCTCATGTAGTGTAGATGTCCAGTCAACTGATAGTAGCGAGGTTGACTGTCCAGGCGACACACCTACTTAGATATCGTCATGAGCTAATGTTCACATGTAAACAGCAGCTCATGTAGTGTGGATGTCCAGTCAACTGATGGTAGCGAGGTTGACTGTCCAGGCGACACACGTACTTAGGTATCGTCATGAGCTAATGTTCACATGTAAACAGCAGCTCATGTAGTGTAGATGCCCAGTCAACTGATGGTAGCGAGGTTGAATGTCCAGGCGACACACGTACTTAGGTATCGTCATGAGCTAATGTTCACATGTAAACAGCAGCTCATGTAGTGTAGATGCCTAGTTAACAAGGATGAAGGGTAGACTGTCTAGCAGCAGCTGTAGCCAAATGCCATTTAGCGCTTGTCTACGTGTAGAATAGAAAACCAAATTATATGAAATTGACGTAAATTTTGACAGTTGTCAGTGTCATTCCCATACATTTTGATTTCTACTCTCTCTGTAGACAAGCGCTAAAGTGGCGTTTGGCTAACGGCACAGATGACACACGTACTTAGGTATCGTCATAAGCTAATGTTCGTAATATAAACTGTAGCTCATGTAGTGTAGATGTCCAGTCATCAAGGATACAATGTAGCTTGATGAATAAGAGCCCGGTATAATTTAAAAGTTGTCGAGCTTATCTTGAATAGTGATTTAATAAATGTTGTGTCTCCCATCTGCCATTATTTTTCTTTCTTTACCGATGTTATGTTAATCCCTAATTAATATAAATGTGAATTGTTATTTGTAATTCGTTTTAAAATAATTATTCGTTTTGTAACTGCATTATTTATAGTAGAGTTTATTTTTAGGGTTTATGTGACCGATGAGGGAAATATAAATTATGAATTATAATTAGTTGTGTTTTTTTATTGTTTATTTGGTAGTCCCTTAAATTTTTGTGTGCTTGCAACATACAGCGATGAAAAAAATCGTCAGCATCAGGATGGTTGGATCAAACGAGATAATTATGTCCTTGAGACCATGTGCACTATTTAATACCTATTTGATGATTATCCTTATTCTTATCCTTATCCTTATATCCTTATTCCTTATTCCTTATAATATTATTAATGGGAAAGTGAGTTTGTTTGTTTGTTCCGCTTTCACGCGGTAACTACTAAACCGATTGCTTTGAATTTTTACAGACGTAAAGTCCGGATTAAATAATAGGGTACTTTTTATCCCGGAAAAATGTGATATTCCCGAGGGAAAACAAAAGTATTGGTATAGATGGCGCTGTGTGTATTGGTATATGTCACATAGGCTACTTTTTATCCTTTTGTGACGCGAGCGAAGCCGCGAGTAAAAGCTAGTATTTAAATATTCTCTAAAGAGTCGGTGTCACTTTCGTGTATTCCTGTTCGTCCCCTTAACTTCGTCCCCGAGGGGGACGAACGGGAATACGTTATTTATTTTCCCGATGGTGCCTCAAAATTTTTTGGAGGGACGAATGGGAATAATTTATTAATTCTTTTTATTAGGTCTTTTGCTCCCCCCAAATAATATAAGACTGGTGGTTTTATTGGTAAAAAAATCAGTCATTTATTAAGGAATAAAAATCACAGAATCAACTTTGCGATAACTCGCAATATTTATATATAATATTTTTTTAAGAATAAAATTCCCCTTATAACTAAAAATTATGATAAAAAAAATCAGTGTAAAGAGCTTATAATAAAACAATTGTGTCTTATATTACAATTAAACACTACAAACAGACTTTTTACCATTCAGGTTGTTTCCTTTTGAAATATAAGTTACTATTTTTGTTAACAACAATAAAAAAAAATATCAAGTATTGAAGAAAGTACAGATAGCGCGATAGTCGAGGTCGTACAGTAGGCAGTAATAATTATTGCACACAAAGCCAAGAAATTGAATCAACGTACAAAACCATCGAGCACTTTACTTATTATGATTAATACCTACGTAAGTTTTTCTAAAAAATGTCCTACAGTTATTTGTGAATTAAGTAGTTGCATTTGGCAATCCATAATAATATATTGGTCTGTCAAGATTGAATGAAGTTTACGCCGTTTTGGATTTTGTTTTGCTTTCACGCTGTTTAAGTTAGCGTCTTGGTGTAACACCGTAAGCAATTTTAAAATATTTGGTTTTTTTTTGCCTATGGCACTATTTAATTTAAAATGCCACCTTTCGGCAAAGTTATTAGTACGGTGTCGTTTTCCAAAACTGCACCACACTTTTACGAAATTCGGTTGAAGCCACTGCGATAGCATGTATTGCCGAAATTTTTCACTTTGGCTATCATCGGGGCTTTCGCTAGCGATATAAAACCAGCCTTAAAAATACGGTCCTCTGGTAATAATGGAAGCACCGCACTTAGGGCTACTTGACGTCTTAAAGTTTTATTTTTTGTTAGATTTAATTCACGGCCTTTCCTCCAAATAGCATTTATTCATATGGTAATAACAGCCGTGGATACTTATCTCAGGAAAAATTGTACAAAAAAATTATTGGCTTTTTTACCTGGGCAAATATACGCACATAGTTGCTTATATCCATTCTTTTATTTTGCTCCATTATCAATATTATAGATTTCTCTAGATATTAGTTGAAAATCATATAACCGTCTTTCTTTTAATCATCATTTTTCATGATCATACGTTATGAAATACACCTGGCAAAGCTCGAACAGGCCGCTACGAAAATATAGACCATCTATATCTGTCGCGGAGAACCTAACGAGTTACCGGGGCTCCGGCTCGACGTGCAGGAGAAGGAACGGGGTGGTTTTTAGTCAGTAAGAGTCTGACACTCCCTCCCGCCTCACCCAGGCAGGAGCAGTCATTCGATGATTTTCCCCCAAGATCATCTATATCTATACATTAATAAAATCGTAGGAGAGTGAAACCTGTACATTGAATATTTTTTTAAAAGAATACTTGGGGTATTATCTACAATCGATACCGAAGCTAAAAATATGGTTTTTACAATTTTTGTCTGTTTGTCAGTATGTATGTCCGGGTTAAACTAAAAAAGTACTACATGGATTTACTTCAAATTTTGCATGAATATCACTAACAGGTCGGATCAACATATAGGCTACATATTATCACGCTGTCACCTACGGGGGAGGAGCTATGAATCACTATTCCACGCGGACTAAGTCGTGAGCACAGCTAGTATCCACTAAAACTTTAAAAAACAAAATCCATTACCTCCTTCCAGACAACAACTACTTATTGTATAAAATTGCAATCTTTTTAAAATCAACAAGAAACCACTTACACCTATTGCCAAAAAGACGAGTATGGTGTAGATATTGTAGAAATTTCCCGGGACACAACGGTGTAATGTTTTTGAGATCGCGTGGGAACAGACTATAAACATTTATCAAGTGCGCCAGTGTCGGGTGACTATGTGTTTTGGAGTATGGCGACTGTCCTGTCTCGGGGTGGGGAGGATTTTTTTTATATATATGACGGGCCGACGTTTGACCACTATCTCGCCGTTTGTGTTTTTTAAAAGATTATGTATTGTAA